GACGTTTACAAATTAGTTTCAAACTACGCGAGTAAAAGTCATGGGGGAATGTTGCTGTCTCGCGAGATATAATACATCGATATTTCGGTCAACTAATCTCCTCGCGGAACGTACGTTGCGGGATTGATGAATTACTTGGCGGTAATCGCGACGAGTTGGAAACTTTGCGTCCAATCTCCAGACGGGACTGTTTTATTCGTGTTTCCTCTCGGGGCTTCGGTTTTCGTTTTAAAAAGACATCGTCACGCCTGTGATTTTTAATTATCTCTGTCGAATTGAGGATTGTTCGATTGAAATCAACTGCTCGACGGTGGTTCCTCTCCGTCCCAGAGACAGAGGATGCTTCCTTCGACGAAGACGGACGTGACGACGCGTTGTCGTTGAAAAGAACAGGTGGATAGCAGCCCGTCAGAATTAATTAATTCCACTGACGCTTCTCCACCCCCGTTTCTTTCAGCGCCGTCAGCTCTCCCCGGCTGCGAGCGCCGCATCCGCGACAAGTCCTCTAGGCCATCCTCGCCGACGTCGGCTTGCCGAGCTTTTCCCCCGTGAAAATCGCGACGAACCGCGAAAAAGCGTGTCCGCCCGAGCGAGGCGATCGCGATAATTCTGTCGGGGTGCTCGACGACGAGAGAGAGAGAGAGAGAGAGAGAGGGGGGGGGGAGAAGACTCCCGCGAGATGATTTTAAAAAAAGGGGCGCAGGCGGTCGTAGATAAAGAAAACTAGAAGTGGGAAATAAAAGAACGGAGATAGGTGGAAAGGGCTGACTAGGAAGGTCGGGCGGGAGCGGAGCCGGAGGGAAGAGAGCGGAATGAAATTTGCATCGCAAAATCCTACCGTTTACCCCGCCCTCCCGTACTCCCGTGTTTCCCCACCGTCGCTTCCCTCTTTCACTCAGCGAAGGAGGAGCGCGGAGCTATTCGTATATATACGGGGTAATGACGGTGCTCGGTATTCCGTGAAGAAAAGGAGGAACGTCCATTGGACAAGCGGGACTCGCTTCTGCATCGTGGATCCTGTTTTGTGTCTCGTAGGCTTGTTTGTTTTGCACGGGCTATCGAATGCACACAAAAGACCAGGAGCTCGCCCTCCTCCACTTCGCAGATCCCAGCCCTCGCTCAATCTCTCGCTCGTTCCTTCCTTCAGCCGCTGCGGCTCGCCAGTTACAAGAAAAGGGACCAAGGTAGTGACCTATGAAGCAGCAATTTTTAGGGCTTTAACTGCTGCTGTACGTGAAACGTTTATCACGCCTGCGTAATGGGAACGAGTAACCATTGTTTCGACCGAATAGCTTACCTTTGGTACTTATTCATCAACCGATTTCACACACTTTTTAGCAGATTATAGGTAATCTTCTTAACGCAAAGCAATGTACGACCAAAATGCTTCACGTTAATGCTTCGCTTAACCGTAGCGAAATTTAATAGTGAAATTTTGTGGACGTTAAATAATCGGAGAACTTCAAAATTTATTTTTGCACACACTGCGATTTGATAAACAAGTTAAAACTTGGATTTGAAGAGATATATTTATTCTAACTTCTCTCGGTTCACTCTGCATATTAAGGAGGTATGTAAATTATTGTGGTACCACGCTATGTACATTATCAGATATAATCCGGGATGAAACTTTAATATCAGATATAATTTTCCTCCGTGAATAAATCTCAATCTCATCGTAGGTAATATTCGCGTAATACATCGGGAATTTTCCATCTTACTTATGTCACACAGGCACGGTTGGCCGTAAATGCGCCGTACGTGGTCGTCCACCTTTCTAATTCTCTTTATCTCTCCCCTTAGACGAATTTTATAAAATCACGCGACCATGCTATAATAGCTCCGCGAGCGAAAGAGCCAGAGCAGACGTTACTGCGATGCCCGTGGCTTCGGGGCGAACGTAATGCGATCTCTCCTGGACACTGCTCGTTAGCGATCGATAATTATAAATAATTAGTGAGGCGAGGCGCGCCTCTTCGGCGATGGATGCTCGACAGGAGGTCGGTGATCGTGTGCTTTATCTTGAAAAAAAGAAAGCGTCGTATTAATGACCCCACGTGCCGCGAGGCTACTCGTTTTTCAACATTGGGCCATCCCCGTTGTAAAGCACGTTTCCATTATCTTCCTTACTCGTGTAACTTCGGTCAGTGCTCTGCCCGTTTCACGTAATACGCCCGTACTCGTTTGAGTTTTGCTTGGTTTTGCTGAAAGGTACAACATATAGCTTCCTCGGGCTCCATCGAGTATTCAAAGCAACCTATCTGAAGTTCCATTATAGGTTTTGGTGCATACGTATTGCCGTATCTTACAACTTCAATACCGAGCGCAACACTTGTTTCTGACGGCTTTAGGGCCTCGTTTGTATTCCGCGCCTATATCTTAGACGCGGCACGAAAAGCATGCGGAGTCCTTGTGGCCGGAATGTGCCAGTATATTATTTACAATTCGATTTTGTGACAGATATTTTTCCAGAGCAAAAACTGCTTAGTAGCAGCGTAATACAATTACGTTCTAGCTTGTATTAACAACGATACAATACTCCGTGATCAGACAGTAAGATATTTAAATGGGATATCAAATCGCATTTTTGTAAATGACAATAGAACATAACAACCTGATCTTTGTCGAGCAATTAAAATATGAAAAAATAACAATACTGAGAATCTTTTCTTTGCCAGTGATTAGTTGAAATACTATAAAAACGTAATGGGAAACATTATTCGACGTATCTGGCAATACTTTATTAAAGGAATTACACAACGTTTCGACCGAGAATTCCGATCCTTTTCGAGTGAAAAGCGTCTTGATTACATTCTAAAGTCAAGACAAGCGCCAACCAGTCGACATCTGAAGACTATGAGATTATTGTGAAAAAATAACAGTTTATTAATTATATCTCGTTTTTGGAGATTTTATCTCTCTTTACGATTAGATTCTGAATTGCACGCTTGCTTTTTTACGTAAATGTAATATGTATTCTATTATTTACATTACTTTTGGCCGCAACGCGTTAGGAATAACTTGATTGGCAAATGTAATGTCTAAGGAAACAGACAAGGATATAGAAAATAAATGTGAAAAGATGAAGAATGAAAATATGTGGTGTAATTACAACAATTTTAGCTCAACAAGTAAATTAGTTTCCTTTCGAAGATGGTGTGTGTACACGGAAAAAAGAATGATGTATCAACAAGATCAGTGTAATTGAAATAAAATTGTTGAAACAACATCAGTATTAATAAATGAAAAACATGAGATTGTCTTAATAATCTGGATATTTCGTTCAATGGTTAAAATTAAAATCCACAGCAAATACAATTGAGTGAATTATTGATGTTTGTGGCAGCCCGTGACGTTAACGTTTAATTCAAGCAACTTTATTTTGTTTAATTGAACAGTATTTTTTTTCCATGTAGTGTACGCAGTATTAAAAATTTTCTCGGCGAGACAGGAATTAGTGAAGAAATTGGCTTCAACCGCAAAAGCGCAGAGTTAAGTCACGGAGTTATCGAGAATATTGACAGTTGAGCATATGCTGTTAACGCAAGTTTCGAAAGGACACGATGGCGATGCCTCGCACGAGAGACGCGAATGTTTTTGTCACGCGCGACTGCTCGAACGCAGTCAAACGCACCGGGCGCCGGGGTGGTTATTTCCCGGTTTGGAGTTTCACGTTGGGCTAACGCCTAAAATTAATAATACTAACGCTGGGGGGGAAAAATAATTTCACCTCCGGCGAGGTGTGAATAATGCATGAGGCGTGACGCGAAATCCGTGCGGTGTTGCAGTTGCAATTGCAGCATATGGAACACGCGTACTTATACCATATCCCCGTGTGGTACATACGAGCGCGATACAATTCCAGCAGCAGCAGCAGCAGCACCAGCACCGTAGACGCTCTCAACCTCTTCCCTGAAAACGATCGCGTTTACTAATAGCACCGGCGCAATTAAAATTTCATGACCCACGGCATAGTAATGTTTCCACCATTCGTCGACGACCCATATAGCCCGTGCATAATCCGGTGTACGAGGGTGACACGGATTAGCCGTTGATATCGCGGCGTGCTGACGGTGACGCGATTAATCTCGGACATAACGGTCGCTTTTTAACTAAGCGCTAGTTGGCCGATTGTGAGCGATTTTATTTCGCGGGCGCGATATTTAGGGGGCCGATTTGTCGTGCAAAATAGACCTCTTATCGTGCAGATTGTGCACGACGTAAAATGAAGACGGACGAGAGGGCGGGTGGAGAGCGCTATTTGCAAAAATGATAACAAATGTCTACGCTGCCGTAACAGGACGATAAGGGTCCCGCTTTACACGACGAATGTAAGTTCTAGCGATGATATTTACATAAATATGGCCGTTACATATTGCGCCGGTGACAATCAGCTTGCATCGAAGAAACGATTAGGATTCGTCGACAGGAATATAAACTGCACGTTTTATGCACTTGTTAGTTGCACGTTAATTCGTGCTATATAAATCGAATCTAACCCGCGAAAAATATGTACCTGACTTTATTAACGTCGCATACTTTTTCATCAGTTCTCCTTTTAATTAAAGACGTTTATACGTTTAATTATTAAATCGAGTGGTACCCGTAGAGACATAACATACATATAAGAGTACACTTCTTCACTTTTTAACGGTACAAGTTACTTCCTTTTATTCCGTGCCGGTAAATTTACCTTGGCAGTTAATTCCATTGTAGCGTCCTGGCTACAATACATTTCCGCGATAGCACCACCGACACTATTTTCATGGAGAGTCGTTGTACGAACCGTAAGATAAATTTATCAATGAAACGGGAGACAGTCAGTCATTGCAATTACAAAGGAACGTGAGGAGAAGCTCGCGCTTGGGATGATTAGCCGTTAATGTTTATTTTTGCCCCAAATCTGCAAATATCATCGCCTCTTGTATCGCTATCACTTGGTACTCCACGGCATTTCCGAGGTGTCTGCGGACAACTAACACGGATTATTCTGTTCTCAGGACATCGACACGAGCCTGTAACCACCTTGCGACCATCAACGATGCCAGGAACGTGCTTGATGACCGATGCGGTCAGGACAGCGGATAGTTAGTGATGAGGAGGAGCAAGTTATCGGCGTGCCGACGGCCCAGGTCACCAGTAACATGCCAGTCCTTGGTCCCAGCGCCGATCCAACTCCACTTCGAGGACTTCTGATCGCCATCTTCGTCCTATTGTCCCTGCCGCGTTGTCGCTGCACGGATCTAGGTAAGTCGAATTCGAACTCCCGCACGCGTCACACAGCCAAGTTTTATGACTTCCGAAAAGTGCTGACACTCTTTTGACCCCTTCCAACTTCCGTCACTCTCTTTACAATCTTCTCCATTGTCCCAGAGCGCACTGTCGTCGCGCGAAGTCAGGAGGTTGCGATTGAAAATCTTATACGAAGCATCCCGTGGAGACAACCACGAGTTTCTCACAAAACTAAAATGCTTATAGCCTCGGAGCAAATACGTGAATATGTGTCTCGCATCTATTATTCTTCGGAAACAATTTTTCACTCGAAATTTAAATTGCACCAAGTTAATCGTCGCATTTATGGGCGCCCTCCTCTGATATAAAAATTCTAAAGCGTGACAAAACTTAATGTTGTTCACGATACAACTTTATAAGCACATTTTCTAGTTTTCTCGATTTCCATTTAATTAGAATCACGTTGTTCCTGTTGCAAACTGTCTAAGAAACCGTATGATGAAATATTAAGTAGATCAAACTCCATAATAAACTAACTGCCGCCGGCAACGTATTTATAAGTTAATTACAGCATCATCAGTTTTAATTGCTCGGAAGATTGCTCAATTACTTATCGTTCTCTCGTTTTACTCTGCTCTTTGATTTAATATTTATTATTCACGATCGTATTTTATAGCATAATCTGTCCAAGTTTTCTTTCGCAAATGAAACACTTCGCAAATGAAATACCATCTTTTAATTGATATTACTAAATTTTAAGAAAAAATTTAGAACACGACATGTTGACAAGGAAACTCGCCGGACAAGATTCCGGTTCTTTTTGTAGCGCCGACGGAAAAGGCACGATAAGTACCGAGGATACCGTGCGTAATAATTTTTTTTTCTCCGGCACTGGAGCGCGTACGCAATAATACCATCCCGCCCTATACATATACACCTGGCCTTACCGAGGTATTGTACCCTCGTAAATGAAATGTCAGCCGCACGATGAATTAACAATACTATCTAATAGCTGCTCAGATGCAGACGAGCGAGAAGCCTGTTCATTGTGCCGATTCGTTCTGGCGTGCCGCGCTTCTGATTCGTTGTTTACCGCTCATCCGTTATATTTTTATGCAAATTAATTGTTGCTCGCAAGACCCTGCCGCGCTGAATGGAGGCATTTATTAAACAGAGAATACATTAGCTTACATTTGCTCGTATTGATGCCCCTCTTTTCCTGTCACCGTTTATGAAGTGGGAATTATTTAAAGTCGTACCTTCTGTGTGACGCACGGGAATATTGCGATTAAAAAACTTTCTCATTGCGTTTCACGTTTATAAAATATTAAATTATCATTAGACGTATTTAAAGGTCTTCCATCCGGCGCGCCGTGCATTTCTTTAACTAGTTTAATTTCCATATGTTAATTAATAATTAACATTTAATTGGAATAATTAATAACATTATACAAATATTAATTATTAATTATTGACTGCCGTTATTGAATATATTTGTGCTGCTGGTGAATTGGACTGTCAATCATTGAAATCGTTCATTATCCTGCACGCTGCGTGAAAACACATCGCGTCTAGGATATCCCAATATGTCAGCTTGACTTATTGCTTTGGGACATGACACTAAAGCTCAGGTTCACAGCCGTTATCGTCGTATACATTGGATATTCAATGTGCACGATACGCCATGCGCTCCAGCACAAAGTGCACAAATTGCACAAATGTTAAAATGCACCATGTACCGCGGAAGATGTCGCACTTTCGAAATTGTCACTAATACTTCGCCTATTACGGAGAGACACGAGGGAAACGTCAACTTTACGCGAAACTCAGTAAATACGTAGAAACCGTCGTTTTATTTGCAAATACCTCCCGATACTTTCACGCCCCACGTATCGTACATCCGGTCGACCCGAAAAATACAATGCAACGGTTGATTAACTACGACGAGCGTTTCGTTTGCTGGATAATTTTCGGACGCGAAACATTGGCTGCGCCAGCATCAGTGCGTCCCGCTGAATCCAGGTTAGCTCGATAATTACAGTACGGCTCATCTCAATCGCGCTGTGTCGCATTAACGGATGCAATATAAAGACGGATACTAGATGCAAATACGATCGAAACTGCGCAGCCTGAATAGAGAGAGGAACTCTAACGTTTATTAGATAATAATTTCATACGCGTACGCACACGCCGCCTAAGTGTTACGTGATTTTCTCAGATTTACTTCCCAAATCTGGCGTAGAATTAATTATCGAATTTCACGCGTATCTCAATCAACTGCCCCTTTTAAAAATAGGTAAGCACGTTATTCGAGGGCATAATATATTGAGGACATAAATTAATGAAGAATATATCAACGATAACTTCAGGCATTAAATGTGTAATAAGTTTCGTGATCAAGTTAAAAAGGAGCAACAGAGAAAATGTAATAAAGTCTCACAACAAAGGAAAAGCACGCCATTTTTATTAAAAAAAATGCGAAGGAGCTGATAGCGCGCTGTAAAAGTCATAACTTCCATTTGTAAAATTTTTTAATAAAACGGCAAACACAATGGGAAGAACTTCTGCTAAATGGACCTCGTTATATGAATCATATGCTATTGTCAACCATATATTAACTATCTCAGCGGAAGGAGTACTTGGCACGATCTGCGAAATGTAATTCTCTAATATTTATCTCCTTAATCTTCGGCAGTTTCGTTTTATCGCGTGATTTGCAACAACGAATTTCTCACTCGTGATTGACAGCGTCATGATCGAATTCATATTTTTCATATCGCGTTTTTACATTCGTAAGCATTATGCGATACAAATATCGACTTTTTTAGCTGCCATTCACTTGATTGAATGCTTATCAGATTACTCCGGTTGAGCGCAATTTTTTGTTTATCGATTCCGCCCTCTCGACTTTACTTTCGTCTGTCTTTCCTGAATCGTCTGGCAACCTAATTACGGTAGTTAGGTAAAAAATAATGAAGTTACAGACTTTCTTTAAACTTGCAGCAAAACTCATTTAGATACTAATACGTACGTGTGTGAAATTTGGGCTTGATTTACCGTATAGTTTCCAAGATATAATCCCTTAAAATTAACTATTTTTAACATTTCGCTTATCGCCATTGGCTGCCGAGGTAGAAAACCTGGCACTTGGACATGTATTTGTCAGTAGCAAAAAATCTAGAATAAGGATTGAAACAAAAAGTCGAGCAAAAGTACATGAATGTTTAAAGAAGTGCCTGTTTAAATTTCAACGACGCTGACCGTACGGTATCAGAGTATGATAAATCCAAAGAAAAATTTGGCTAGGCTAACTTCTTCGTGCACTTTGCGGATGTGGCAACGTAGGTTACGCCATTCTCTTTGTTCTTTGGTTAAGTGTTCTTTGCATTTTCGCTTCTGCTCTAGCACATTCCTTTTTATAAAACGCCCTTTATGTCGTAACTGATTTTCCACTGTGATAATTAAAATATCTTTTCACAATTTGACGATGAAATGCGATGTTGCCACGCTCTGCTAACACTACACTGAAAAAAATCTGATAGATTCAACCAGTCGTCTGTTAGAAAATAGACGAATCAGAATTCCTTTAGGATTTACCAAACGTGTAGTGAAGTCTAGCAAACTTCTATCTTTCATAACCAGAAGTTTGCTAGACTTCACTACACATCTGATAAATCCTAAAGGAATTCTGATTCGTCCATTTTCTAACAGTCGACTGGCTGAATCTATCAGATTGTTTTTTCAGCGTACGCAATTCAGAATGCTATTTCATTTTCTGTAACTCTTTTCTATTTTATCGGTTTTTAATATCCTGAGAGAAGCGATAGTGTTAAAAAATCTGTTCTTGAATTTAGTGTAAAAGAATTCATTGTCTATTGAACTTTATTGATCAAGTCTCACTTTGATTAGCATAGTTGGGAAAGAACTACCTTAAAGGCAAATTTGATGCGTGCGAGGACGATTTGTTATCGGTCGCGACGCAGCGCGTTACCAACTTGTAAACGCAATAACGCGTTTGACGTCTTCGAACGCAGATTTTAGTCGCGCTACCGTAACACGCCGAACCAGGTTTCGCCGGTATAATGGACGGTAGGTGAAACGTAGGGGACAGTTACAAACACAAACGAAGTTTTGTTCGCCGTAATGCCGGCTCATGGAGACCATGGCCGGCCGGCAGTGGCTCCGGAGGCCGGGGCTAATCCCACGTCCGCTGCATTCTGCAGTTTTGAAACTTTCCACCGTGCAACTGCAGCACCGTAGTTTAAGCGTAGCGACGTCGCACGCGCGACAAGCTATACACCGGCCGGGCTGACTCCCGCGGATTCGAAAATTTATCATGTCCCACGTACACGCGGACATTGTCATCGGCGGTGCCACTGCCAGTTGATATTCCTGCAATCGATTTTTCGCGGTGACGTCGCTCAGGCATTTTATGCAACGACGACAGAAAAAAAAAAGATATCGGAAAAGCGCCGTTTTACCGTCAACCTGCGCGAATAATCGGCGGTGTTTATGCATTATTTACATGAATGTCTCTCGTCCCCCCGAAGTTCCCGACTCACGGATGTTGAAACGGGAATAGAAAAAATCTCTGTGCCGAATCAAAATGCCAATAAGATGATTTGAGTGACACTTTATTTTTATGTGCTCTCGCCGACATTTGTCTTGTAACGACAAAGCGAAGGGGAAAAAAAATCGCGAAAAACGATCGCGTCAAATATGCCACGTTAACTAACGGATCTTCTACATTACAATCAATCAGGGAAGCATTTTCGATCAGGCTGGAGCTTGGTAGTCTAATAATGTTTCAGTATGAATTTCGTATACTTGTTACCAATGCAATTAAACTGCGCGTCGATATTATCTGTCGATCTGAAAATGCAGCTTTTCGTTGGAACTGCAAATCCACATGCATAACCGATTTAACTTCTGGCGCTAATAAGCGTCCCTTTGAAATCACAGTTTCGCGAAGATATTCCACACTGTCGCGTTAGTGTTGGTCTACAATCTTGCCTTAAGTAAGCTGCAAGCTTCAAGCCGTAAGAAATTAACCAATCGCAGGTGAGGAATAAATGCCTGTGATTGATTAATTGCTTACGGCTTAAGGCTTACTTGAAGCCAGGTTGTAGATCAACACTTATGACTCGAACATTGTTTTATTTGCGACCGTGAAAGTAGCTGCTGACTTAGGGAGGAAAAGAAATCGGGGAAATAGAGGTGACGCGAGCGTACTCGCTACGATTGTAAATTGCTTCTCGTGTGTACCCGGCGGAATACGAAGTCGCATGTTTGTGGCGACCGGCGTTTCCAAGGATTTCGTTGGAGCATTTGCACATCTCTGCGATAGCGCTGCTACAGCGGTGGACGGGATTGTTGAAAACGAAATGCTTAGGCGCGCCGGAAGAAAATCGTCGCGTGTCTTTGACTGCAAATGGATGCGCAAATACGTAAAATTAATTGTTCAATAATGCCACTTGCCGAGGCGGAATCCTCGCGAGAATAATCTGTTATTATGTCACCGTCTCCCGTTCCAAGTTTACGTTTTAATGCGCGACGTTAACGAAATGAAGATTGATATTGAATTTTGCCCAATGCCATCGTGAATTGTTTCCAGGACAATGCACTACAGCGTTGGGCATGGAGAGCGGAGAAATCCCCGATGAAGACATCTCGGCGAGTTCTATGTACGATCCCAGTCTCGGACCGAAACATGCCAGGTAAGAGAACAATCGTATCACGAAACTGCCGTCAAGTCGACTATTTTGATATCTCGGGGAAACGAATATCCGGCTTCTATAATCATCGAGTCCGTTTATCGTCATAGCGACTTTCTATTATTCTCTTATTACGATTTCTCGATAGAACGTTAAAACGCACGCTCTACAATAACTACAAATTCTGCTAGTGAAATTTCGTATCACTCTTTTTTTATACAATGTTATTTTAATGAACTTATTTACTTTTTATGTTATAAAAAACGGCTGGATGTATTCCCATTAAATTTAACATGTGTGTTTGATGTGGGTTATTTTAAAAAATATAAGAAACAAAAACTCGCACACGTGTATGATAAAAGAATAAGATAATCTTGCGCGTTTTACTCTTTTCAACTAATTAAAAAATTATAGTTTACCGTTAATCTTGGAATAGATTTTAAGATAAAATATAACGCAGCGCGTGCCTATATATCACGCGTCTCACGTTAGAATTAAATTAGGTAATTGCCATTCGCATCACGCTGTATTATCGAAATTCTTTTAACCTCGCAATGTAAATCGCGTGACACGGAAGAATGTCTCTCGCGCAATGGCATTAGCGGGCCTGCTACATGGTTCACTTTATTTCTTATTACAACACCGAGATTAAAATCACTGGGCTAGTACGGCGTTTGCGTTCCGCGCCTTAGGTGTATTAAAATTTTAAATAACACGCGGCCTCAAAAGCACGGTTGTAAAACTTTGTTATCAGGAAACAAATGGTGATGATGGAAGAAAATTAAGGAGTGGAAAACCTTTCGATTTGCTCGCGCGGTAAATGGCAAATTAATTTTATGAGCGCCATAATTGCTCTTCCCGCGCACAATGACGATCCTTTATCTACTTATCAATAATTAAAACCGCCGTGAAATTTTTATGCCTATTACTTTCTTGAGAAATACGAAAAGTGACGTTTTAAAATAAAGAGAGTCATGAATATTGTAATCGATTCATAATCTATCTGCAATCAGTATAACGAAGCTAAAAAAAGAACTAAGATCGCTTGGGTGAAATTGAAGGATTATCATCCGCGATTAATACATACAGTCTCTTCGCACTCCCGTCATTAATAATGAGTTTCCTATCCAGAACACGTAGACCGCAGCAGCGAGTTGTGTGTCGAACGGATCGATCTCGTCAACGATATACGCGACAATTTACGGTAGGCTCTTTGCACCCGCCGAAAACCATGACACGATCTCCGATAATAACCGGTTTCGTGTTTCGATACCCTTGTTAGGGTGCCATCAAAAACAACGTCGATGATGAAAAAAAAGAGGAGGAAGATACTTTTTGGAAGACCGTCGCGGTGAGATCGTTCGTCTATCGTAGGCCACGCTCGGCAATTAAAAAATTTTAATTAAACCGCCGTACGCGCGACCGATCAGCCGTGACGTTTTAATTAACGATCTACTCCGTAAATCAAAAAGCGGCCTACGCGGCTACATATTTCGAGGTGGATAGCCCTTGCCGGAGAGTTACGTCCTTCGAGCAAGTCGTTACGGGAGAGAGTTTCGGGATACACAGCCGCACACAAGTCCGGCGCGATGTAACGCGGGGTGGAGTGGTAGCGGCCGAAAGGGGGTCGACGGCGACGGCGGTGGGTAGGAAGGGGTTTGCGCTCGACCCCTACAAATTACCTCCAATTTCGTGTAAATTCCTCGTGCCTGCGTCAGCATAATACCTGTATTAGAACGCCTGGCTCCGGCTCTTAGGTGGCAATAAATCTGTATTAGAGCAAGGCGCCGCTCCCACTCGCAAAAGGGGTACGACACCCGGGACCGGTTAATTTTTCAGGGCCGTGATTCGTCCGCCATGTTGTCTGCAATGTTGCCCACCACCAATATCGTCTCTTTCCTTTTGTTACTTTGGAATTTTTGTCAAACTCGCCTCTATTCCTCTCACGTTTCACTCAACATGCTAATTGTTGTGTGAATGTTATATGAATTATGACAGAAAATTATATACACAAAAGTGATATTAGATGGATTAATTGGAATATACATAAATTTTTATTACATTCTTGACTTTTATATCGCACGCGACATTACGAGGCATTACACGAATAGCTTACCTGAGAAAGGATCCTAACACGATTAGAGAGTTAACATCGCGAGGACGGCAAACGTATCAGCCGTAACTATCAATTGCGATTGTGTAATTGGGAGGATTCCCGGTTCCCGTTGGTAATCACTTTGGAAGCTCTCATCGTGATAAAGTCTTTTCGGTGTCACGAAGCGCGAGGGTGTTCGAGCGAAGACACTTGCGGTGTGTTTCACGAGCGTCTAGCCTTGAATCTGGTTTTCAGCCGCGGTAGTTCGGTAACTGATGCTTATCGCGGATACACGTGCTATCGCGCCGTGGGATCCGCGATAACGCCAAGTGCATCACGCCAACGCACGATTATAATTACAGATGAAAGATAGATTTCCATTATGAGAGGTCGGGACCGCCCCTGAGGGGGGGCAAAGGGCGCGGGATAAGATATTGCCTCGCCGTGCACCGCTCCGCAGAATATGATACAACGTTGTATAACGTAGCGTTAAAGTACCGCATTTCAAAGTACACGTAGTCGGGTTCTCGGCGTAACGAAATTGCATCGTATATTTTATTAGAGCGGCTCTGCGACAAGGCGACCCCGCGACATTTTAAGGTCATCGTTATCCATTTCGCCGGACGGATAAGTAGGATATACGCCGTAAACAAATGTGAGAAACGTAATTACGCTTATCACGCGGTGGCCTTTCGCGAGTCAATTAGTTCGGCGCGACTTTGCGTCCCTCTGTTATACGCTCCGTTAAACAGCGCGTAAATCATTCGGCTTATTTTACGATTTCCCCGAGTCGAAATTTTGGCCCTATGTTGAACCTTTAATTCTATTATATAGTAGGACCTAAGACAGTAAAAGAGGTCGAACTGCAAGTGGAAAATTTACTCCTACCTTAAAACTGATAGTGTCGGAAATTTCTACTTTTGCCAAGTTAGCATTAAAGTAGATCCTTTTAAGTAGGAGCTAAAGTAAATTTTTAGAATTAAAGATTCAAGAGAGGAGTAAAAAATATAATGTCATCAAAGTAGGTTAATGCTGATCTATATAGGTGTAAATTATCCTTAAAAGTGTCAAAATAGTACCAAAATTTCGACTCGGGTCGCGTTCTTACATTAACTTGGAGCGTGTGCCGAGGCTCATCGTATTAATCCACATACTTTTTAGCTCTTAATATACGTTTTACGTAGTCACGATCCGTGTACGCGGCAACGTCCGCGCAAATAACGACTCGAGGACAGACAATGGAGGAGCGGGCGGCGCGCAAAATACAAAAGCACGAAGGAAGTCGGGACGGCGTGAGAGAGCGCGCGTCCACGCACAAAGAGACACGATCGATAAGGGCCCGGACAGAAGAGCGGACGGGCACGCCGGTACGTGCGACGAAAAAGTTTTTCGTTTTCGCGTATGTGGTGCCGATGGCCATTCGTATCGCTTTAGAGCTGGCACGAAAAGGAGGCGCGCGAGGTGGCAGCTCGATGTAAGAGGCGACGGGGGTGGACGAGAGAGAGAGAGAGAGACGTCGGGGACGAAAAAAAAACGGATACGAGAAAAGGAGCGCGAGGACCCGCGGGCGTGACGAGCCGAAATCCTCGACGCGCGGAAGAGCAATAGGGGTTGGAGGGTGAGAAATCGCCGGGGCGAGGGGAGGCCCAGAATCACGCGGACATAAACTGTCCTGCGCCGTTACATGTGCTTTCAGCAGCCGAAGCCGAGGAAAAATGGCGGCCATATTCTCCCGGCCTTCGAGCCTGGCTATCTTCCACTTTGTTACGATTCGAAAACCCCGTGCCTCCGGTAGCTCTCTCGTTTCGGTGATTTATGTAACACCGCCCTCCTCCCTTGGTATCTCGCCCGTTTTTTCTCGCGTTTGTATCGCTCGGGCGACTACGCCTCCGCCACCACCGCCGTCGTCGTCGTCGTCGTCGTCTGATGGAATAGGCACTTGGCTGCATCGTATCGCGCCACCGGAAATGCCCCGCGCATTTCGTGGCTTAGGCCTCGCGTTCGCGTGACGATGTGCTCTCGTGGTATAAATCTTCGGGGGGTTTCGAGGGTGCCCGCCCTGAGCAGCGACCGATTCCGTTTTACGGCGCTGATATCTAATTCCGGTCGTCCGTTCTTCCGGGACCCGGGCCAAGAACAGCGCAATTCTTTTGATAACGAAACAAATATTCCGCGCGACGCGCTGTATTTACATGCAACGTGCGCAAAACGGGCTCCTTGGCGCGATTATGTACACCCAGAGAAAAGATTTATTTAGGTTATGCGATACGTTGAAATCACGTTTCCTTGAATATACTAAATGTTTATTCACTTCTGCTAAAACACTTGCTAGATCTGAAGAAATAGATGTAAACTTTCTTAGAAATTTCAGTCTTTGTCAAATAAAATGTAGGCTAAGGCAAAGAAATCATTTCTTTGAAATTAAATGAAAGTAGTATGGTATTAAAATTCAAAGAAAATTGGTTTGATTTCGAAGAAGCTTCTTCCTGCGTGTATGCCGCGGGTAAACCGTGAAGGACAATCAGAAATATCCGACACACGATCGTAATGTTTAAGGAAGAGATTGCGTGGAGACACTTCCTCGATATTTCTTCTCGATAAAAGTGCAGGTATATTTATATTACATTTATTTAAGTCAAACGAAGGATAATTAATAATGCGTTATTCTTTTCTATGGAGAAAAAGTGGTAGATCAATTCTCATATACTCAAATTAACGCGTCTATTGTTGTGTATAAACGCAACAATCTATTATCTTCTTAAAAGAATTTAATAATGTCACATCCCAACAATATTACAGCTTTATTTAAATACTATAATTGTCACGTCAAGAATACATATAGAGGAAAGTCCCCTATTATGAGACAGGCTCCTAACAGATACTGCGGGATTTCTGCTACATTAATAAATAAGCATAATCTGCTGGCAGATTATCGTCCATCATGAATTTATTGCTGTTGAAGTGAAATCTGTTTAGTGAAAAGTGCATTGTTAAATTGTGTAATCGGTGCGAAAAGGGATTCGTGATTGAATTTGGATGTTGAAACCGTGCTATCTCATATTAGAAGCCTCTCTCATAATAGGGGCCTTTTTCTAATTATTCTAACAATAAAATTATTTTATTCATCACAACCTTCGATTTGAAAATATGTTATTTTGTATCCAAAATTGTTCCCTTCCATTCAAGAACATTATTCTTAAATAAGAAGCATATAGTTTTCTTGACTGAGTTATATAAAATTGCTTCATTCAAGTAAGTTTTCCTTCCTGTAACTCGATATAATCTCATTTCAAGATTTTCACGTTGGAACTAAACACATTTTCAAAAGAAGAATATTCTTTTTTGTTCTGTGTATGCATAATACAATGTCTATTACTTTGGAAGGTACGTTTTTTACTCGAGACGTGACATTTATCGTCGGGATTTAATAAATAACGATTTCTGAGTCTCGACTTTCTCAGCCTTTCCTTCACAGAAGCCTCTCCTCTCCCTTTACTTATGGACCTTTTCTTTGACGTGACACCCATTCTTTAACGACACAAAGATGCCCTCCTTGTACAGAATGATTCGGTTTAAAGCCGATGAGGTAAGGAGAAAAGACAAACTGCTCCTCGCGGTAGAAGTGATAACAATCCCTCGCAGGAAACTTTTGTCTCCGGCTGCATTAACATAGTCGTTGAAACACAACTAGGTCGCCGCCAAGATTTTGTCTTATTAATTCATCTGTTTGTGGCGAAGGTGCTATATTTCAATCTTCTTTCACGGCGGGGCGCATTATGCCGCGCATTATGCCGCGCGACTCCGAAAGTTGGCGCTTTAAGCGGAACCCGCGGGTTCGAACGCACGTCTCTTCGGGAAAAAGTTATTCGTTAACGCAAGAATTCCTCCGCCAACTTCGCTCCGCGGGTGCCTCTGATGATCGCGCCGAGATATCTCGCGTCTCGCGTCTTTTAAAATATCAGCGCGGGAGGCGGTATCGCGATATCGAATTCCCATGGAGAAGTTCGGCAGTCGATCTGCCTCAGAGAGATATTATTCTGTCGTATGCGAATCGGGGAGAGCGTGGCGATAACGAAAATCTATTTCGCCGCTTCCGCGTTCCGTGTCGAGCGTGTGAACGTTGCTCCCTATATTTAGCCGCACACACCAACGTGCCGCATGCATGAACCACCGGCACCCACGCGCGTAATACACATATATCTATACCAGGTATATATTTATGTGCATATACGGTAGCTCGGTATGCGCGCGTGTACACGGACGCGATTTTCAGTCCCGATTCATCGAATATCAGCGACGTTGACATATCGAGGCTTCCTATCTCGCACTATTCCTCGCACTGTCAGGAAATCGTGAGCAACCGAAACGAATTCTCCGTTAACGATCGCGGAGATTCGCCCATGAAATCGTCATTGACACGGGACGCGACTTACCTTTCAAATTTTCACGGGCGCGCTTCATTCGACGGGTACATTCAAATTTCCCCATCAACGGGCATCGGCGCGTAAATGCACGTTTTCTGATCGCACGCCTCGCGTTCGCTCACTCGTTTCTCTCTGTGGGGAAAGGGTGGTTCGAGGATCGCGCGAAAATACTCCGCACTTGATGAAGCGATTCGTACTTTTCACCACGCCAGAAGACGTAGAGGAAAGTCCCCTTTTTATTATGCGACAGGCTCCTAATATGAGATAGCGGGGGTTTCTGCTAAATTAATAGACATCATCTGTTGATTGCGCTATCAATTTTTGCCCTTGGAGTGAAGTTTGTTTAATGGAAAATTGACTGTTAGATCGTGCAAACGTTGCGGGAAAAAAATTTGTGATTGATTGATAAATGTGGAAAGAAGCGGTATATGAATTCACATTTTTAAATATAAAATTTCCAAGTTGGACTACCTACATCTTGCCTTGTGACCCACATTGGCGTTTTCTCATATGGTGTTTAGTTTTAGTTAGGGGTTTTACCAAGGGGGTAACCACTAGAAAAATGTTGTCCCACCGATTACATGATTTCATTAGATTTCATACGATTTTATCTGATTGCAAATAATTTTCTTACATGCACGCTTAAAAATAGGCGACGTTGTTAAAAGCTGTTAGATTTCCTTAAAACATTATATCGTTTTGATTTTACTAATAAGTATTTGCTTGTAGATGTAATTTCAATTAAGATTATAGTATTCGGTTAAGTAGAAAACGTGTTTCCTTGCTTCCCACTTTTCCCACCGGTCTAACCATGGTCTTGACCAGAAATAATTTTGTATTTGTATTTACTGTTTATTGTTCTAAAACTGCGCGCAAAGGTGTATCAACTCACTGTCCTAACAGCAACTACTTCAGTCTTATTATGAAACAAATAATACGCGCTTATAGGCGCAAACTATGACATACATATACATCCTCATTAATAACAATAATTTTTTTGCATGTATCTACATATAGGTGCGTATAAAATTATATATATATGTGTGTGTGTATAAGAGAAATCTCACCATATGTCACGTGCATAATTATAGATATACTGGAAGCATTGGAACACCTTTTAGTGCCGTTACCGTAGTCCAAGGTGGCTTTATTATGACATATATTTTCCACTCTGCTTCTCCAAAAATCTGTGACATTTGCTTCACGATTATCTGAAATAAAAATATTCGTTTGATACGTAAGCCCGTGAAAATTGATATTTTATAATCTAATGCAGGATGCGTACCGCTGACAGAAAGTTTTTCATAATCAATTTTATGTCCTCAAAAACATCATCCGTTAAACGCAATTCTTCGTGAAAGACAGAATTTTCAACGGAATCACAATTCGAAGGATTGATTATTTTATTCTCCGATTCAAAATTTTCTATTTTTTCAAGCGGATCATGACGCCCCAATGCCAGTATATTATATATCATTGCTTTAGTGCAGAGATTTTTGTTATAAGATAACAAAACCTATAAATATAAAATAGAAATAAGACTTTTATTCGTTAATATGTAATACTGTAGGGCGTAACAGAAGGTTAACTTGCCACTGATTTTTTTAATCGCTGAATCTGTAGGCAGCACTGAAGGATCTCATCATCTGGACAATTGAGAGAAAAATCTTTCTTATTTTTCGTTGCCTGTTCTCGTGTTTATCCTATGATACGTGGATGCTTCGAACAGAACTGATCGTGAATGAACGATATAGCTTGTCTAGCCTTTGCTGACAACTCATGTTTAGATTTATTATTCTTAAAATAGTCTAACTCCTGCAGAAATGGTTCAAAATAAACACTGTACATTGTGGCGATCGTGGCGCAGAGGATTGTGCGCTGGTCTGGTAATCCAAAGACCCGGGTTCAAAACCATCAAAACATTGTTGGTTTTTCGTTCGATCGCCACATAGCGAAGTTCCTTCAAAAACGCCTTGTAACCCTAAGGGGAATCAATAAAATGTACTAGTACATGTAATACTGTAGGGCGTAACAGAACTTCCTGAGCAGTCTGTAAGATATGTGTGGCAAGAGATTGAATAATCTTCATACAAAATGAAGATGTTCAGTATTGGAAGAAGATACACGATTACAACGGCCGAACACATTCATAATATGAATTTAGTCTACGACATAAATAAAAAATTAATTAGTAACACCAGTACCTCTATCTCCATTTCTTTGCCCCTCTGATTGCCAATCCATATCTTCGTTCTTCATACGAAGATATGGATTGGCAACCGGAGGGGCAAAGAAATGGAGATAGAGGTACTGGGTGTTACTAATTAATTTTTTATTTATGTCGTAGACTAAATTCATATTATGAATGTGTTCGGCCGTTGTAATCGTGTATCTTCTTCCAATACTGAACATCTTCATTTTGTATGAAGATTATTGTAAATAAAATTAATATTTAAAATATATATCATACTTTTTTTTTACATAGGTGGAAGTTGTGAGAACCCAACTTGATCAAGCACAGTATAAATATATAATATAATAAGTAATATAATAAGATATATTACTGTAATAGCATTAAACGTTTTGGTCGTGAGATCACGGTATTTATTCACATTAGCGATTTGTACTAAGATGCTACTCTTCTCTATAATATATTCAACATCTTTCAGTTGGTGGCAGAAAATTGCAACATGTTGAATATATTATAGAGAAGAGTAGCACCTTGGTACAAATCGCTGATGTGAATAAATACCGTGATCTCACGACCAAAACGTTTAATGCTATTACAGTAATATATTTTATTATTTAAATGTTTAAACACTTTGTTATTGTGGAAAGGAGGTAAAAAAATTTATACTTTCAGGAACTCAAGGAGAAGTGTAAGAGATATATCACTGACATAAATCTGAAAAAATTACACAATAAAATAGGCATCGCAAATAATGCCGAAGAACAAGAAACGAGAGCGGGAAAGGTGTTCCAATGCTTCCAGTATATCTATAATTATGACATATGGACATATGGAGATTTCTCTTATACACACACACATATATATATATACCTAATTTTATACGCACCTATATGTAGATACATGCAAGAAAATTATTGTTATTAATGAGGATGTATAGTATATTTGGATATTCACTAAAAGAAGTAAATTTTTGGGAAAATAAAAGCAAGTTGAGAAAATGTTCAAGAAAATGAAGACAAAACGATTACATGAAGATTTCGTAAGGATTTCATAATGATTTCGGAGACACTGTCCCATGATTACATTAAGTGGTTACCCCCTTCGGTTTTACTTTAAGTTATTATATAAATGTGTAAGAGTTTATGTATTCCTGCGTTTAGAATAAATTTTTCCTCCAGCTTGCAACGCACGAAGTTGGCACCACGATATTCGACACAAGACGAATACATACTATTTTATTCCAGATTTTAGAATTTTTCACTTAAGATTAAAATATTCCTTTCTCTATAATAAATATGATATAGCTATCGATCCTATTTTATGATACATTCGAGTGTAATAGCGTCGGATCTAGAAAATTTTTCTATGGGTGTATTTTCACGTTCGGTTACTCTTATTGAAAAGTTTAAGAAGATTTAAGAATCTCACACGTCGCTAAATCGAAGGTAGCGATATAGCGATGGGAAATTCCTATCACTGAATATCTTTTACTGATAGACACATTGCGTGCGAAACTTCCTTTCTCGAAACAAGCCTTAGGCTTCGCAGCCAAGTACCACAAACTTGATATCGAAGTTGTTACACGCTGAAAGTGTATCACATCGTGTTACCCCGAGGAAAAAGAATCGCGCGACGTAACGAGACAACAGAAGAGACTTGCTAGAGAGCATACCTTTCGAAGATATCGTATCTAATTGACTCAGCATAGCCTTGTATGATCGCAAACAGATTTAGTCGCGCATACAATTTTTTCTCGGAAAAGTATAATTTCGTCTTTTCCAAGGCGCGTGCTTCGATATCGCGAGAAAACGTGTTATTATATTTCCCGATAATAGTTATTAACGGGTATTGATCAGACGTACACGTATGACGACATTTGTTAAAACAATGCTGGTCAAAATATAAAAATATAGGTACCTTTATTCGTTAGCGACCGACTCGATTTTTCATATCTGTACACCGTGCACTGTTAGGGGAACTTTTCAGTTCTCGTTGTTCCGAAAAATCACGAAACTCCCTCTCTAACGACCGCCGTGCGCCGCGGTGGATATCGATACATTCGCTACATGACTCGAAGTTTTAGATTCGTTGACAACGCCGAATTCTGTCAGTGTAGCGCAACGAAAAAACGTTGGGTCGCTTAACATGACCCGCGAGACAAATATTCGCCCGAGATAGTTTCCGGTCGAGTCGACGGCGAATTGTGCGGGCTGTCGGCGCTGAAATATGATCGCCCAGACAATTTTCATCGCCATTCCGGACGATGCCGTACAGGTTTTGCAGAGAAGTTCCTAAATTGTTGCGGATATTAATGTTCCCTTGTTCTCCCATGCGATAGAATCATCGGAGGATTGATCAAATTGTTATTATTTATGCGTCGTACGCGCTTTACAGAATCTGAATCGTAACGCGGCCGAGAGATTCGCAGTTACGATAGAAAACGAGTCAAGATAATTCTCAACTCCACACGGAGAGAATTTTCTCTTAAAATTTATTCTGAAATCATGTAATCGTGGGACAACATGGCATTTCGAAGGATTTTATCAGTTTTTTTTAAATTTTACCACACATTTTACTACTAGAATGTATGGCAAAATTTCAAAAAACTCACGAACGTCTTTACAATGCCACGTTGTCTCACGATTACACGATTATCAAGGTAAACTTTAAAAGAAAATTCTCTGCGTGCAGAATTGTTACGCTCGGTGTCAATATAAACTACATGGAGAGAATCTTTTTCTTAAAATTCTTCCTGAATATTGTACTTGTGGGACAACGCGATATTTCGAACTTGATGAGAGTGTTTTTAAAATTTTATTAGTAGAATGTCTGGTGAAATTTCAAGAAACTCTCATAAAGGCCTTCAAAATGCCGTGTTGTCCCACGATTACATGATTTTCCAGATAAACTTTAATTAAGAGAAAATTCTCTCCGTATGTCATAACACGTGGAAATCGTATATAGAAATCGTATAATCAGAAGTAGGAATGTACACCGTTTTATACGTGATAATCCTTATCTCGCATGTGCAGAATGTTGCGAAATATACGATCGCGCTCTAGCGGTCGAAACATTTTAATTATCTCAAGAGAAATTCAAATGTTGATACCGCCATATAACTTATATGGCCCCCTCGCGGCGGCCGTCTTCACGTCCGAGCAACGTATAATAATTCATCTGAAGCGGGTGTATTAACGCGAAATACACGACAATGGAACACATCATCTTACGTCACTCTGGCCGTAAAGAGAGATATATACGAGGCATATTACGGGCCCGGCTTTAAAGAAGAGTGATCAAGCCCCGTCGAAGCGTCGAAAATGGGATTGTACCATTTGCAGATTGAGTTTGACTCCTCGAAGGCGTCCCGTGGGATCGACCCGGATGTATCCTGACTCTCTCTCTCCCCGTTTACTCGCATTAAGCAAGGGCGACGAGATAAGGTGATGCGGTATTATAAATGTATATGCCAGTACCGCTTTATCTCAGTTATCGCTCTTGCCAGACTATGAAAAAAGATCCTCGATCGGCGTTGTTGCAGCCAACATACATACAGTGGCTATTGTAGAGGGCAGAAAAAGAAAATCTCAAATTAATGAAAGATCGTGAGAATAGTAAAAATAGAGGCTATGAGAGAGGACAGGCGCTACAGTGTAATTTATAAGGCAGTGGCTGCTATTAAAATTGGACGATGACTTCATATACACGTCGTTAATACTTTTCGGACGTTTTCTTACTTTTATGCGGTAGATGTTTTATATCGAAGTATTGGAATTATTTAAATTTGAATAATAAACGCAGCACAGTTGACATATCGCGTTAATTTCAATATAATATTACAATGTTGATGGAAAATACAAACGTCAGAGAAGTTCTCAGAACGGACGGCGCACAAAGCAGTCGCGTTGGAATGTTAATTTAGATTATTTTAATCGAAAAATACAAAGTATCTTAATTTAACCGTTTTAATTGGAAAATTTTAATGAAGCTTATAGTTTGAAGAAATCCAGAATAGGTTGAGATAATGGGAATCAGGGAAGCCCTTTAAATAATATAATTTCACCTGGGAATTGTATATTCACTTTTTAATTAAATTATACACAAACGAAAGCTTATCGATTGGTTGTAGAATCCATACGGATACTTTTTTTTTCGAGATTAAGATCGCGAATTAAATCATGCGGCAACTTTGCAAGTATTTAAAACTATTTTAAACAGATAAACTAGCCGTTTCCTTTCGAAAACAAAATTAGCTTCTCTCTAATCTACATTCTATATCATTTTAATAAAATATCGCTGGTTAGCAAAAGCTGGCTAACTTCTTTTTCACTGCA